CAAGGATCGAATTGGAATTTGAGAAATGTTGGTTTTTGAGGAGAGGGGAAAACCGGAGTACCCGGAGAAAGACCTCTCGGAGCAGAGAAGAGAACCAACAACAAACTCAACCCACATATGACGCCGGGTCCGTGAACTGAACCCAGGGCACATTGGTGGGAGGCGAGCGCTCTCACCACTGCGCCATCCCTGCGCCATCCCTGCTCCCCTTCCCTGCTCCCCTATGTGTGGCGCACAGACTTAATTTGCGCCAACCGCCCGCCGTTTTCTTACAATAACAGACTGACTGAGCTCACTTGTTGGGTGGTTACAGACTGCACCAAAAGACCCTAAGAATCCACCCGAACTACACCGGAGAAATTTAAAAACGTAGCTTTTATCTCTCCGGTTAGGCCTACCGTCCACACCAATCCTGACCGAAAACGCTCTTCAAACCGGAGGAAATTGAAAACGGCGGCCTTGCGTTTTAGTGTGGACACAAAACATTTTAAAAACTGAGGTTTTCGAAAAGGATGACGTCTTCATAAATCATTTTAGTAACGCTAACCTTGAATTTCTCCGGCGTAATGTGGACGGAAAAACATTTGAAGCGTTTTCGGTGTGAAGCCTGACTCCGTTTTTATATTTCTTGGCGCAGTGTGGACGGGCCTTGGTGAAGGATGTAAAAGTGCGAGACTCCCATAAGAAAGTCACTGAAACGATTTACCGTTTGCGCTCGAAAAGATTTCGTGCATTGCCAGCCTCACTGGATCTAGCTAGTTTTGCTGAAAACCTAACTAATATGAATACTAGCAACTAATGCTCTTCTACAATCGCGGAAGTGAAAGTTCGATCCCGTGAACGTATTCAGTCTTGTTCTTTCTTCCAACTGTAGAAATATGTTGGCAGCTTTTACTAAGAATATCCACATCGCTCATGGCATGTTTGCTGAAAGGATTTTATTCTTCACCTTCTGATCTCGAAGCATTTCTCTGTTTGTCGTCGTCAACACCAGTAAGAGGATTAAAGGAGTCTTTGTTGTTGACGCTTTAAATGACAGTTTCATTTTCTAATATCACAGGAGGACAGTTAGTGCTTAAGCTTCTCTGTCTCCGGATTAACCGCGCAGCAACGCCCTGACGATTGCTGTTCCTGTTCGTGTTTTTTTTGTCAACCGGTACATCAACCACTTCTCCGTTTACCAGTTTTAGTCTACAATTCGTGCTGTAACGCCTCTCTCTCGAGCTTGCAGGGCTAACTGGCTGATCAGAGCTTATCTTGTTTGCCGCTTTGTTTGGTTCCTCTTTACATGTTTCAACAACTCTTCCTCTTGAAATAGTCGGTGCGCTATTGGTGCTAAAGCTACGCTGTCTTCGCTCTTTACGTGTTGATGCAAGCTCGCTATTTTGACCACTGATCATGGCGTCGTTCCTCTTATACCTGCGGTTTCCCTCATCTTCAGACGAAACTGTGGCACTGTTTTTATTCGGAAGAAACCTCGTTTCTTTCCAAGCCCAGTTCGAGCTTTGCGTTTGTTCAAGGTCTAAATGATCCTGTCTCCATGTCCCATTCACTGCTGATTTCTCAGACTCAATTCTACAAGATGCCCACATGTTATCTCTTTTAAGACCAGTAGTAACTTCATTTTTACCAATTGCTTCCCAGACGGAAAATCTAGGGTGTGTACCGGTGCTGAGGCTTCTTTGCCGTGGCTTATCGTTACATTTAGCAAAGGTTGAAATGCCTGGACAAGTTTCCGAATGCGAGTTACGGTTTGTTCCATTTGAACCCCCTGACAACTTGCGAAAGACCCTGGAAGGGTCTTCATTTCCTAAACGAACAGTGGTGCTGCTACTGTGGCTTCTCGATCGTCCATTTACCAGTGGAAGCTGGGTTAAAGAGGCCCCACTGTAACGGTCACCTGTAGACAATGAGCGGTATCTTTGCTGTACCCCTGGCCTCTCACCTGATGAGCCATGCCGGCGGGTTTCGTTACAAGAATGAAGCTCTTGAGACAATTTCCTCCTCTCGGCACTAACTGGTGGATTTCCTTTCACCTCTTGTATTTGTGTTAATTGTTTCCTCAGCTCTTTTTGTTCCCGCGATATGAGCGATCTGGTGTGCTCTACTTCGGCGCTCAAGCCATCTAGTCGATTGCGAAGACGCTTGGATTCCATCTTATTCAGACGACGAATCATGAAAACTCGATTTGATACAACTGAGGGGCTGTCTTTCCTCGGAAGAAACCATCCCGACGTCATCTTCAAGAAATTCCTGCATTAACTGTCTTGTGTTGATAAATTGTTTTGGATTTTTATCTTGACTGCTCCTCGTGTTCTCGACTTCCCACTCATCACTGAACTAGTTTAACGCTGTATGTACTGTACAGTTTTGTGCGTCACCGATTTAGAGTTGTCAAAACATGTCGTGCAGCAAGTCGTGCAATTAATTAAAAGCGTAGATTAAACCCCAACCGCAAACAATTCAAGTGGACGTTGTTGTCGCTAATGACTCCTCAATAGAAAAAAAAATTCATCTGCAGATTAAGAGATATTGGGAAGAAATATTGCCGTCACGGCATTACAGATAATTTTGTCTCTGCTCACAAGGCTGAACTAGAAGAAAGCGCAGTTGCCTATGACAAAACCTGACGCAACCTGATTATAGTGGCAGTTGAAACTCAAACCTGAGTATAAGTCGCAGTTGAAACTCAAGGTCTACATTTATTTGCGGTCACCTTTATTACTTAACAAAGATGTGGCAAGAGTTTTCTATAGTCCTGAGAGAATGGATCTGCTCACTAAATGCAGTAATAACGTCATTCTTGCACCTTTTTTGTTTGTTCCGAGATAAAACTGGATCTTTCCATCCATCGATCTTCTAACAATGTTCAGATATGTACTAAATCGTAATCCCAGCGAACATTCCTGACAGAGTGTTAAGCAGATTTTCATTTTGTCAATCATCTGAACTGTAAACTTGTCGAAATTCCTGTGTAGTCATTAATCAAATAAGGATGAATTTGTAACATCGCGTGTAGACGAGAAAAGCAACGACAACATTAATTTATTTATGTATTTCCATAACAATACATGGCATTACCTATTTAAACGTACTAAAGAAAATACAGTGTCATCGAAAATAAAAATAACACTTATTTTACAAACGAAAGAGGCCATTTCCGAGGTACCTTGAGCCTCAGTTTCAAAACGAGTCATCGTGATAACCCTTTCATATTGTATGAACCTGTATGAATCTGAAGGCAGAGTGGGACAAACACATTTTCGCACGAAGACTCGTTTTGAAACAGACGCAAAAGGCAACTCGGAAAAGTTAAAGCAACAGTTGATCGACTTATAGTAGGATCAATGCCGTTAAAGAGGAACAAATCTTTTGCATTAATATCTAACTGTTATTTCATTAAAGAATTTTAAACGTAACAAGGAGCCATGCCTCCTGACGTAATAACCCATCATATAACTGGCATGAGAAAAGAAAGTGTATTTCTTTTTCAACCTCAGTTGAATGGGAGAAAGAGCAGATTCTCAAATTTATAGGAGTCTTCAGTTTTGTGTGTCTACCCGTTTCAATACATAATTTATGAATCTCTAATCGAAATTTATTAAGATCATTCTGTGATGGGGATTGTTTATCACATCGAGAGAACCAGATTTTTTGGTATCTTTTCTAAAAGAAAGTTGAAAGTGTAATTAGTGCAGAGTGCACCATTGGGATGGTTTAGGGGTTTACTGTCCGCTAAAGCGATAAAACTAAAAACGCCAGAAAACCCACAAGGTGTAAACGTTTATGTCAGTTTTAAATCAATTAATTCATTGGTCTTGCGGTGAGGGCAGGGGGTGGAGTAAAACGTGCTATGTTTTGACCTATTTACGTTACTTCTTTGATAACATTACAAAACTGAATGTGTGGTACGTCTTGCTCCCGTAAATTGAATTAACGCAAAGGACTGGGTACGAAAACGATATATAGCACATGGCATGCGCAGTGGTTATGCGTCCAACATGTCAACATGGCGGACACTTTCTTTGGTTTCAATCCAGAGATTCCTGTACGTTTACCATTTAATTTATCTCTCGAACAAAATAATTCTTAATTGGGACTATCAAGTATTCTAAGAACATTTTGCTACCTAACTGTTAACTAATAATTTTCATTATTGTAGGCCTTTGAGGACGAGGACTTGTCCGAATTAGACCCATCGCTGACGAATCTAGAAGAGGGAGCTAACTATGATCAGCTAAATGACGATACATTTGGAGCAGGAGCTTTGGGTAAATTGTCATATGACGTGTTATAACGTTAATTTAAGGTCGAATTTTTAAAAGACGCGCTTATATTTGAGTAACTGACGGAACCACGTCGTAAATTCGCTTGAAAGTACGTTGAAGGAAGGCTCTTTCCTGGTTTGCTTTGTAAGCTTACAACTGTTGGTTTAATGCAAAGTTAGCAGTAAAAACGCTAGAGACAATTTTTCTCCTGGTTGTTTTTAATTTGCCGTAAAATAATGCTGAAGTTTTTACGTCGTTTTTTGTGGTAGTATATTGCTTCTGTCATTTCTTGCGTCTTCACTCTTGCAAGTGACCCATATTTGTCATCGAAGTCGTATGTTTAGAGACAGTGGCTACAAATTTAAAAGGTCTTTGGGCCGAATTAGGACCATGTAGAAAAGGAAGATTTCAGCAAGAGCTATTGAAATCCAAGAAGAAAACTGGGGGTAGCCATACACTTTTCATAAAATTTTAGCCTTGAATCTCAAACACAAATGCTGATATCAGCATGTTTCTTGAAAGAGCAAAAACATATTTCTTTGAAAAGTTACTTAGAATTTGACTTCCATGATACACAAGAGCCAAAATATTTTTAAAGACTCTAAGAATGTATGCATGGAAATGATACCATGTAAACTACTTCAGGTATGATTTTAAAACTCCACAATAGTGCCATTAGTGTTGCTGGCAGCTCTCCTCTGGCTTAGGAAAAAAAATACAGTTATAATAGTTTTTGCGCACAACTAGAAACTAATCATGTGTTATAAAGGCTTGCCACTTCCATTTCACAAGATAAAAAGCAGCAGTAACCAGATGCTTTATGAAAGTTAAATGAGTTGTTTTTAGACTGTTACACTAGCTGTTAGCACCCGTGATACACAATAAGCCTATTGGTAATATTATTTGTCACTTAACCGTGACACTGGTGTTGTGAAGACATCAAAACCTTGTTTTCAATGCTGATTTCAATTTGAAAATTGTTTACTTCTTTACAGAAGATGACTGGGAAATTGCTCACAGAAAACTAGCAGGTATACAGAATGAAGATGCAGCAAGAGCAGATTTTGATGATTGGCTCAGGAAAAAGGGACTTGGATCAGAGCATGATGATCCTAAATCAAAGTTGTCAAGAGCTGTTGAGACTGCTAATGATGATGACTCTGAAAATGAGCTAGATCGAGAAGAGGTACTGTCTGACTTCTCTACTACCCCAAGACAAGAAGATCTTTAAGATCTTACAACTGCGCTTTTAAAAGTTAACTGTTTTGGTAGCGCTACAGTCACAATTGAATGCACATTCCAAAGCAGTCCTTGATGATTCATTGATTACTGCAGACACCACATCACTTGATCAACACAACCTGTATTTTGGCACCATCAGTCGTAGCCATTGTGAAATCTCTGATGACGTAATTACTTCCGGCACATGTCATAATATGGGATCATGAGTGACCCGAAGYAAAAAAAACGAAAAAAAAAAATCGGTTTTGAACCTATTTCCAGCAAATTTGGCACACCGGAAGCTGAGAAAATTACCCTATTTCCAGCCATCATTTTTCAGCTCTTTTTTTCTTTTGTCATATCCCCCCCTCGGGAGGGTTTTGTAAAGTTAGCGAATTATTATGCAAGCCACCGTATTGGTGATTGCTGTCGATTGGTGATTTCCTGATCCATTTTGGGTAATAATTATTATTTGGTACCCTATGCTTTGAGCTGTGAATATATATATATATGTGGCTGTAACATGTACAGGTACATTATCATTCCCAGGACCTCCAAGATTGTTTGTGTCTTTTTCAGTAACTTAGCCAATAAGCATACATGTACACGTATGTGTACAATAAAAGTAGAAATTGATTTATAAACATATATAACACAAGTTAACAACCAAAGATGTACTTTGCTTCCTAAACTTGTGTTTATTTCCTGTAGATGAAGAAGGAAATCTATTCCAAAATATTGTTTCCTTGACTTGCCAGACAGTCCTTTTGTATTAACTGCATTTATATAACCTAATTGAACAGGAAATTCTTGAGCAGAACTTAACCAAACTGGTTGACGATGATGAAGGTGACTCTATACCCATCCCCAGAGTCTCATCAAAGTACAAGGTATAAAATCTAATATTTGTCTATCCCCCTTAATTTGTTTGACAGGCCAATGTATTAGACATGTGTTCTTTTGATAAGTTGATAACAATGGTGAATTTTAAGCTTGGTAATGAAATGTGAAGGTGAATTAATCAACATGACACAAGTATGGGACAAAGAAAAATTCTGAGTCCCCGACAGGACTCAGTTCTTTGTCCCATGCTTGTGTCATGTTGATTAATTCACCTTCACATGTGTTCTTTGGTAGCTATTCTTCAGTTGACATGTGGTACAAAGGTCTCTCTTTCTTGTCAAACGTAAATTTATTTTTCAAGTTTACAGTATTTTGTGAAATTATTTGTGTATTGTTGTTCACTTTACACTGTACATTGGATCTCTCCAAAACTTCTGATCAGTGCTCAAAACAAAAATCAGCATACCGTGAAATAGTAATTTAAATTGTATGTACATGTCCAAGTAGTGCGTCTAGCCCTCACCTTACTGCAGAGGTCTGATTATCTTATCAAGTACTAGATATATTATTCTTTAGGGGGAAGTTGTATAATTATATGACTTTCTACTTTTATTGTCAGGACATCAAACACCCATCAGGTATAAACCCAGCTTGGGATGGCACATCACCTCTCTCCAGTCCAACTTCAGCTACATCATTACATGATCTGGTAAGCTCTTTCATTAACACTGTATTAATATACATAGTACATTGTATTGTAGGTTCACTACAATAGTCACAATACAATGTCACAATGCAATAACTCACTTGACACTTGACACTTGACACATAAGGTACATACATGTACAACTAAACACAGTTGTATATAAATTTATTATTATTATAATTACTCTGGTATTAAAAAGTGCATGTACATGTAATGCTGCCATGAATACTACATGTACACCGAAAAAACAACAACAACAAAAACACTGTAATTACTCTGTAATTGGCTCTGACTGAATCTATGCGTTACTCACACCTGTACTAGTCCTCTTCAGTTTTTATGAGGGTTGTCAAGAAGAGTTTCACAGTTTCTTTGGTTTTAGATATTAATAATAATTATGGCATGCAGCATTGCACATTATTTGTAGTACTAACTAGGTTGAGTTTACAAAACCCAAAACTGCTTGGTAGTTGGCAGACACTGGTTAATAGGGATTTTATACACGATTCACAATAACAATGGCAACAGGGATTTAGTAAGCCCAGCAAGTGCATTATACAGTACATCACTTGACTATCCGCTGCAAGATGACAACATGAAATTATCAAATCTTCTTTTTTTGGTGTGAGTGGGGGCCAGGGGGGTGGGGAACCATGACATCAAATTTCCCCTTATAATCTGTTTTGAATGTAATGCTGCAGTGTTTACATTTTGAGCTGAGGATGGTTCTAGCCATAATCTTACTGAAAATGTATTCATGTGGAGATTCAAGAGATTCTCAGTACTGTACAGTACATGCAGAAATTTCTGTTTTCATTGCTATTCTCCATGGCATTACCACTGTAGTCACATAAACTCCTTGACATATCACTATCATTCATTAGGTGGAGTTTAAGATACCGTACAGTATTGTGCAAAAGTAATGAGAGCGAAATGCGCGAATTTCGTTCTTTGTCTTCGCACGAAAATTCAAGCGTCTTTTCGCAGTGTCTTGAGCATTATTTCTTTAAAACAAAGGACGAAAATTCATGGCATTTTCAAGACCAGAACGACAATTCCTTACCAGAGGGATAATTCCATTTGCAATATGCGAAATATCGCAGTGCAGTGCGCTGACCAGTATCAAGCCATCAATGTATCGTTCTCTTGTGAACAATCGCGGTCATGTTGATGCTTTACTCCTCTATAAAACTCGTTGTTGTTAATGTGTTAATCCGTCTTTCATGGCAAAGAACGTAGAGAATTTGAATCCTTTGATCGTTTTCAATGACACGAACTCGCTAACTTAA